CGAGCAATATTGCTTGCTTTCCAATGCTGCGGAAATATGATCGACCACTCGGAGTCCTTTTTGGACTGTGGAGTGTTGTGAACGAAATCCGAACTGATGTGAAGGAAAATTTTGGGATTCTATAAAGGGTAGGATTCGTTTCAGAAGGATCTTTTCAAAGATTTTTGAGAAAATCGGAAGTAGGCTAATTGGTCTGTAGGACGTTGAGGTGTTATTTTAGGATTTTGTTGGTGATCTTCCATAGGGAATTGTCATGAACAGAGAGGGAATTAAGGTAGGAGTTGAAGGATTGGTATTTGAAGGTGGCCAATTCCTGGTTTAATTGTTTACTGTAATAATTATAGGAGCGACGATCGATGGGGTGTCTAGTACGTTGCCATAATAATCTGGCGCGGCGTTTGGTATGGATTAGGTCTATGAGGTGTTGAGGTAACTTATTTTTCTTGGGAGTTCTTGAGGAGTGGTTTGGAGAGGAAGCAGTCCAGATTGCTTGTTGGATAGTGGTGGTGAAAAGGTGTACGGAAATTGGAGTAATAATGGACTATGATCTGAGGATAGTTCGGCAAGACGGGTAAGGGAATGATTCAGGGGACCTAAGCCACTGTGGATGAAAAAATCAAGGATATCGGGATTGCGGTTAGGATCTGTGGGCCAGTAGGTAGGTGAGTTAGGAGGAAGGATACTGAACCGTTGGGAATTGAGTGCAGATAACAATGTTATACCATGAGAGTTCGTGGTTCTAGAACCCCATTGATGCTGCTTGGCGTTTAAATCTCCACCCAGGATGATATGATGTCCTAAGGAGTTGAGAAGAAAACTGAACAGGATATTGGATATGGATCTGTTAGGAGGGCAATATGCTGATGCTATGGTGACGGAAAAGGAGGAGGATTTGATTACGATAGCGGTTGATTGTAGGAAATCTTGTGTTGGTAATGGGAGCTGGTGATGAGAAAGTGAGTGGTGTACAATAACAGCAGTACCGGCATGTGCTTTACCGTCAGGATGGTCAGTACGGTATGTTATGTATTGAGGTATTTTTAAATGCTGTTTTCTGGTCAGTCGTGTCTCCGTAATTAGTGCCACGTCGATGTTCTTGTCCAGTAATAAAGCTGTCAGTTCGTCAACGTGATTTCTAACACCATTCGCATTCCAAAGGAGAATGGATATGGGTTTTGGGATGTGAGTCATTAAGGATTTTTTAAAGGAGGGATGAGGTGAGATACGAGATTTGTGAGGAGTGATATGAGTGGAGTAACTAAGGATTTAAAATCGGTAAGGAAAGATGCCAGCAAACTGGTGAGATCTGTTGCATTTGAAGGAGGAGGGATATGATGAATTTGTTGTTGATGGTTAGGTTTATTCGGATCAATAGGATTTTGAGGTTGGGATTGAGGTTGTTGTTGCAGCAGGGCTTGACAGTTATCGGTTGAGCTCTTACCTCTAAGTAGCTGGGAAAATGATACACCATTGTTTACTATTCTAGAAGGCTCTCTCTCTCTTCTTGGTCTTCCTGCTTCATCTTGAATCCGGTTTTTCTGGTGTCTGGATTTGAGATTCTTGTAAATTTGGCATCCTTTGTAGTTGGCCGAGTGTCCCTCCAGGCATAGTGCACACACTGCAGGATCTTGTATCGGTTTTGTGCACTCCACTGATTTGTGCTGTTCACCGCATTTCACGCAACGCGGCAGATGGTGACAATAAGTCTTAGTGTGGCCATACGCCTGACAATTATGGCACTGCACTATTTCTCTCTTGGGGTATGGTTTCTCTACTTTCACCATTGTGTAATATAATCTTGTGATATCGTATATTTTCTCAATACCGGGTGATGGCTCCAGATCCACGAAAAATAAAGGTAGTGGTACTTTATTTTTTACTCCAGGCTGCTCCTTATTCTCCTTCAGAACGTTGGTTACTTGACGTACTTTGAAACCAAGCGCCGCTAGTTCTTCTTTTATCAGTTCAGTTGGGGTTGAGGAGTGTAAATTTCTTATTACTACTCGTAACGATCTCTCCTGCCTAAGCTGGTACGTATGAAAATTCGCATTCGTTTCTGAGAGGTACTTCACCATTATTCGGTAGGTTTCAGCAGTATCTGGTGTTATTTTTGTATCGTTGGTCCTGTTTAGACATGAATAACTGCCAGAGCAGATTTTATTTAGTTGGGTGCAGAACAACTGGAAATTTTTGATGTTTTTCACAAATATCGGAGGAGGCCTTGGTTCTGTGGGAATTGCTGCAGACTCCATTACCTCTCGGTCATTTTGAAGCACTTGGTAGGGGTTTGGAGTAAAGAAAGGGGATTCTTCGATCATTTCTTGAGAAGAAGTTCCTGGTTGTGGCTGAGGTTCTGGATCTGAAGTGTTCACTTTTGTTGTTGGAGATGTTTCTCGTAGGCAGCGACGAGTTCTTTGTTTGGCTGGTGAGTTAACTCCGTCTGACCGAGTCCTCTTGGGCACCTTACTGGACATCACTTGGTGAGTATACCGCATACCATAAGAGAAGAAAGAAAGAAAGGTTAAAAAAAAAAATTACAAAAAAATATGTATCAAACAGCAATATAAACTGCTCTGGTGTACACGTGAAATGTATTCAATGAAAAAATCAGAGAGATTCCACTTAAAAATACGCAAATACTTGAGACCAGTTGAGAGCATAACCATCCAATCCACCTTTCATTAGTAAAAAAATTTCACATCTTGCTAGGTACTGAGAACAATGTTCTTTAGTTTATAGAAATTTTCAAAATTGTAAGTAAATTGTTCAGACTATGGTTGAATGGAATTGATTTTCATCAAAAAAGCTTGAAATTGTGCCTGTTGTGCCGCCAAAAACTGTGAACATTCTTCTCCATTCATTTTTGTTGTTTTCTCTTCTTTGAATTGAATGGTTTACTTTAATTTTTCTTTTTTTTTATGTACGAATTGGCAAAGACTGTTCGAAAGGGAAGTAATTATTTAGAACACTGGTATAAATTTACTGTAATATTAGTACCTACTTGACTTTATCCTCGTTGCTAATTTGTTATGTCGAATACAGGAAATATTCAAATTGCAATTGAAAAAGTAGAATTCTTCTTTTATAATATTTCTATTTGATATCTATGTTTTTATAACAATTGATTAAATTATCATTAATTCAACAATATTCAATAATCGATCTCATGTGTTAAATCACGGATGATCGATAGATACATAAAGAGGGATCATGTATTTGACGTTTTTCAGTTGCCTAGGCAGCACTTTTATTATAAATGATGGAAACACTCAGGATAAGAAAAATAAAATAACGAGCTTTGTGAAGACTATTAACTAGGGAACACTCGTTTAAACACTTAAATTAAATCATATATTCAATAAAAGTAACAATACGCTTTTACAATCAATTTAAATGCATCATATATTATCACACATATAAGCTATAAATTAATGTTTGTATACATTTTTAAGTTTAATTTTTAATTTCATTTCAACCGGTCATGTCTTGATTATGTCTAGGACTGATAAGCGAGGTAGTATTGTGGTTTACAAAGTTTACAGTTAAAGTAGTAATCGGATTTATGAGATGTCTATTCTTTAAAAAAAATTAAATTGTTTATCAATTGTATAAAATAAATCATTTTGCGAGAAGATGGAAGGTGGAGAGATTTCGTTTTATGATTTCATTCCGTGCTACCAAATACCAATAACTCATTTTATGCAATTATTTTTTGACAACTAATTATTTTTGCAATTCGAATTAATTGAATATTTACTAACTTATATATTGCATTCTAAGAATACGACGTAGTTCCTTATTTTTATCCGAAATAAATAGAATCTGAAGAAACATTTTTTAAATTTAATATTTGTTATATATATATATATATATATATATATATATATATATATATATATTTTTTTTTTTTTAACATATAATTATATGTTTCTCCAATAATATTATATGTTTCTCCAATATAATTATATCTATGGGAAAGATTTAAAATAAAATACAAAGATATAATAATTTATATATCATATAAAAAAAAGTACAATAGACTTTTGGGTTTTAATGCAAATAAATAAAACCTAACCGATTATTTGTTTTAAGCAATTAATTGATATTTTTAGAGCTCAATGACTAATTTAAAATAATACGAAAAGATACATTAATTTGTATAACACATAACGATATATTTTTAAAATTATATACTTGTTTATTAAAGGTTCAATATTTCTTTCATATCAAATAGACTCTCGTTCAAAAATAAACTAATAAGTTTAATTCAATTTACAACATCAAATTGCAGACGTAGGTGGACGCACGTGGAATCTGTGGAATAATATTTTTTATGACAGATTGTTGTAAGACTGAATAGAATAATATATATATATATATTTTAAAAGGATTCTAGTCTTAATAAACAAATAGATGTTAGACCTGCTGTCGGCTGCGATAAAAAGATCTGGACTAACAAACAATTTTTTTCTATTTATTTTAGTTATTTTTCAAAATAATATTGTGGACTTGAAAATACGAATAAGTAATTTCTTTTTTCACGCAGTGTATCGTTTGGAATAGCTGTTTATGATTATAAAAAGGAATCGAACCAAACATACAAATGTGAGTGAAAATAATGTCCAACAATTTTCGTTGTAATTCAATCATTATTCCAAGGTCGGATTTGAGGCTCATACAACGTTAGAAATAAATATTTTACTGATCGGATTAGTGAAATATCTTAGGAAACTAATCTATTTCTGATAATAATTTTTTAAATACTTCCGAAAAATAGTTGTTCTTTCGCCTTTCAAACACTGCAGCGCGCAAAATCTGGTGACTACTGGGTCTTGGATCTCTGAGGTAAAATATTTATGTTAGAAAATTACGTCTAATTCCACTTATATGTAGGTATTTATATGTGATTACATACACTACCCTAGCTACAACGGAGGAAAAGAAGAAAAGAATAGAGGCTGAGTTTAATGTTTTATTCTAAATAAATTAACTTCTTTCAGAATGATGAGATTGCTAGAACAAAACTACGATGTTCAATCAGGTTCACTAAATTATTACCCAAAGTTCGTAAGCTGTTTACTTTGATGGAACGAGCTGCCATGATTAGAAGCCTCGCTGCAGGAATAGCTACTTGTATATTAAAAAGATTAGATGAACCGATTTTGATTATGGTAATATACATTTTTTATGAGTTTTATTTATTGTCGGTATTCTGTAAAAAGGAAAATTCAACGATTTCTTACTTTTCCGAAGATCATACTTGAATTGTCCTATTAAGAAATGAAGTTGTTTCCGCCTTTGTTACAAAATAATTTCAAGTATGAAAGGTACAAATTTGATTTTTACAGTAACGTCATATATCCATAGGTGAAAATATCCAATTTATTTAAATCATCCTTTTTACAAAACACCTACAATATATATTCATACTGATACATTTCCAAGAAAATATTGTTAAGAAAGATCATCTAAGGTCAGATAAAAAGTTTATTTAAGTGCAAAATAAAATTTTAAAAATGTAATAATATAAAATAGTATTTCGATCAATTTTTAGAAACTGAACTATTAATAAAGTATAGCCCTCAATTTTTCAATGCCTTCTTCGATGCCAAATTAGCGGAAATTCATAATCTACCCCATCGCTTCATAAGCAGAGAGATATTTAGCTGTCTTTTGTTGTGGGTTGATGGTTGACTGTGTAGCAGCAACAGTTTCCGGCATAGTTTCCGCTCTTGCCACATGGTACATCAAGCTCGCCTTCCCGCTACCAGGCGCTACGAGACTGCGCCATCACAAGACGCTCATATCATAAGATGATTTTTTTATTTTATTTCTTGTACATATAACTTTTATAAAATACATATATCTTTCATTGTTAAACATGTGTTGTAAAAATATGTTTATTTTACTAAATAAAGATGAAGGTATATAAATCAACAGATAAAAAAATAAGACCAGAATAATCGGGTACGATTATCGTCCTTATGACTCTAGGATTATCAGTCACCTACTTAACAGGATATGATTTATATACCTCTTGTTATTAATGCCTCACATTGCTTTTTTCTATAAGAATTGTCCAAAACCGTTTTCCTATTATCTCTCCATACAGCTGGATGCTGATCCACCCGCTTGTATTCCTATATACTAAGTCTGGAGATTGATCCCTCCGTTAGTATCTCATCCTCCCACAAGTCCGGAGTTTGATCCATCCGGTTGTGGTTACCATTCTTGCGGAATGTTAAGCTTAATCTCTTAACACCACAGATCGAGAGTGATTGGGTGCTGATCCGCCTGTCTCTTAACATCATCCTTCTATTCATCTTTCTACATCCACTTAGTCATCTTACCCCTAAATTGAGCAACGCTCTGTCGAGGCCTTCTGATAACTGCGTACTCTCTGCACACATATACCACGACAACTGTATAAAATAATTGAAAAGAAGGATGGTTTGGATGATCAGTCGAAATAAAATAGTAAAAATAAATAATTGAATTTATTTTCACATTTGCCTACATTTCGGCCCGAACTTTAGGCTTCATCAGGGCTAAGAAAAGAACCAGATAACAACAGGTATTATAAACATTGATTAATAAAGAATTAAAATTTAAAAAGTGAAATGTATAAACTAAAAATTTAGGTAGAAAAACTTAACGTAAAATGAAATAGATAGATTGAACATTAAAGTAAAATAAAGTAGGTACCTAGAATAATAGCAGTAACAGAAAACCAGAGGCGGATCCAGGAATTTTCTCAGGGAGGGGCGCACCTCAGTACCAGATGCTTCCCCCACCCATATCCTCCACCACTACCAATCTCCTCCCACTCCCTAGCTGTGTTTAGCCGCTCAAAATACCTCTTTAAATGGTTTTAACAAAAGCAAACTCTATCTTTATTTAAAACTAAATTTTGTCTAGTTTACAGTAATCGTTAATTACTTAAATTAAATAGTTGTTTTTTTTTATCACTTCCTATTCAACAAAAAACGTGGCCTACATGAAAAATCACAAAACTTTAATTTCCTATATTTCTGCTGAAAATCACACCATTGTTTATATAAACTTTTTTGTATTTATTGAGTTCGGCTATCACTCCTTTAAACATTTTCCTCTACTTACGAGATACCCTGTGCATGGGTTTAGACATGTAAAAAACTGAATTGCTGACACGGGTCACCAAGAGAAAAGTTTTTACAGCTAAAAAATCCAGATTTATCTGATCTTTTATTTCATGTATTACTACTAAACAGTGCATCAAAGCGAAAAAAGTATTCTTTGAGAAATTAAAGAACGTCAAAATGTGTGTTGAACGAGTATCTAAACTAAATAATTTGAATAAGTGATATAATCGATAATCCCGGTCAATAAACGCTAATTTTTACCGACATTGTCAAAATCTGAGAAAGATTACAATAAATGGCCCTGCATCTTGGAAATGAGTTCTCTAAGAACAAAACTCAAAATAATTTCTTATTCCGATCATAATCAGATTCCGATCAAATCAGAGACCTAATAATTAATATCTTGTCTCATAAAAACGTTCCCAACAACAGCTATTTTAAGAAAAGAACAAATCTTTCTAATAAGAAATGTACAAATTATTATCGTGACCAATCGCATGGATTCTTCAAGAAGAACTATAGTTGCTTGAGTTGTACTGCATCCAGACCTATTGAAACTGAATAAAAACTGGGTCCGGGAGAAAACTCGTATTTTCTTGTGCTCGAATAAAAGGTTGTTGGAAAGAATAAATGAAGTTCATATTTTTTAAATAAATTTTCTCCATCATATATTTCAGCTGTAATATGTATTCCAGTTCGGAGTCAATTGGAACAAACTGCGACAGGAGCACAAGCCTTAGTATGAGGATGAATATTTTCTATATTTCTCTTTTCATTGAACAAATGCTTTAAATATTAGTTTTCGAAAGGAAGGTCCTTCGGATGATATTTGGCACAGTTAAGGAGAATGGTAAATGGAGAATTAGACTACTTAGTTCAACCAAGAACTAGCTAACTTATACAAGGAGGCGAATGTGGTGAAGTATATCAGCATAGCAAGGCTTAGATCGAAGGGCCGAGTTGTACGCTAGACGAGATCTCAATCCCAAAGAAGGTGCTGAGCATGGAGCCGGTTGGAAAAAGTAAAGTGGACAGACCGAAACTGAGATGGAAAATGGAATGAGTGCTGATGGCAGAATCCATGGAATCAGGAGCTGGTGGAGGCTGCTCATGACAGGGAAACATGGGGGAAAACTCTTGAGGTAGCCAAGATCCAGTAATGGATTTTCGAGCTCAGGATGATAATATTGATCACATTAGAAAATTCTTCCTTAGAGGACAATTTTTTCCTATATTTCACTTTTCTTTAAATAGATGTTTATATGATACTTTTTTTCGTAATTATTTTTTTAACCATCCAAAGGGAAGCGCGCCCCTTAGCAGAAATTACTATTGCTGGTCACGATAATAACTTTTTTTTTATATTACATTAGGAATTCGTCTATGAGGATAAATTTTTACTATATTTCACTTTTCTTTAAATAGCTGCTTTTTAGAACTTTTCCCCAACCATCCAGAAGAGAGAGGAGCGCGCCCCCAGCTGGATCCACTAGTACTGGTCACGATAATAATTTTTTTTATATCACAGAAAAATCGTCTTAGAGGATGATTTTTTCCTATATTTCGCTTTTCTTTATATGTGTGTTTAAAAAAAAAAAAAAAATCCAGCATCCAAAGGAGGGCGCGCCCCCTGGCAGAATTCGCTAGTGCTGGTCACGATTATAATATACTTTTTTATTACATTATGATATTCGTGAGCGATAATGAATGTTCCCTATATTTCTCTTTTCTTTAAATAGGTGTTTTTGTCGATTTGTTCGGTATTTTTCCACCACCTAAGGGAGGACGCGCACCCCGGCAGGATCCGCTAGTGCGAGAACTAAGTAATAAATAATAATAACGGTAACAAGGCACGGACCAATGAAATTAAGATATTGCAAAATATATCAAAAATACTGACTACCTATAAGAGAATAAAAAGTTAAAATAATGTTATAAATATGAATGAGCAAATGTATCAATACATACAAAATAGAGACGGAGATATGGAAAATAGAATGACGAGAAGGAGGAAAAGATGGAGAAAACTAAGATTAAGGCCTTCCAATTGGTAAAAGTAATCAGATTTGACAGTCAGTCTTTTTTTTTTGTTTATTCTGGCTTCACATACTCAATAAAGCATTCAGAACTGATCATTGAAACAGGTTTACAACCTATCCAAGGAGATGGAGATTTATTTTGTGGATTCTCCACTCTTTGTAGAATTGGAACATTTTGTATTTGTCATTGTCTCTTAATAATCGGACCATATTTGTTGTTAACTTTACTAGTCACAACGGGAAAAGATTTGTAAAACAAGGCAACACATGAAAACAATAACAACTTTATTGAAGAACACATAGAAAACCGATATCATAGTTATAACCCAAGTGTGAGGTTACATCAACAATGATATGACAATTTATAAAAATTTTAATTTTCATTTGATCTATTCAATTCAAATAAAAAATATTGGCCAGTTTAAACATTCAACCACTTGTGTTTAAAGATTCAGCAAAATGTTCGCGTTTAAAAGCAAGTTCTTAAACTGTAAGAAGGTTTAGTAGTAAGTTCATTTATATCTCTATTTTATCGTTCTCTGTCATTTGAAACAATATCGGACAATTATTGCTATTGAAATAATTGACCCAAAATGTTAAATATTGGTCTAATTTAAACCTACTTGTGCTTCCAGGTGCTACAATCTCCTGGATTGTTGAATTATTTCGTGGGGATCACACCAATTTATCGAATTTAGAGCCTGACCTCCATGAAGTGTTAAGTGAGCCTGCTTGGTTTTGCTAACAGCTCTAGTACAGTGCTATAATTGTCTGTATCATCTATTCAAGGTCGTTGAGTGCGAGGGGGGACTGAAGAGGCTAAAGACACAAGAAAATATACTTTTAAAACCTATTATTTCTATCTACATTTTACTTTCTGATTCATTAATTTCCATTTTTGTTTAGACCTTTATATACGACAAATTGTCCAACAGAATAATTATTTTTAATTCCAGTTTCACTTGCTGTTATTAAAAAAAATACTAACTGGCTAGAAATTTATCGATCATTTGTTGTAGTTGCTGAGTGTAATTTGGAAACGTATGGAAAAATGCTACTGACAGATTAGGGAGGATGTAAGTACGCCTGATAAAATTTTTACCCGGGCGCCTCATCTATTCAACGGATTTAGTGACTAAGCCTTCCAGATTCGTGAAATGAATTCTCTTCACCAGGCTGGGAACTCTTTTCATTCTTTTTCTGTGGTTTTAAATTTCCTAGATTTTTTTATGTTCAATTCCATTTTCTCCATGTCCTTGCACTTGGAGGTAAGTTCATGTTCCAACTTACCATTCCTCTTCCACAATATTCACGGTCTTTTTTTCAATATCCACGCAATTTGTTTGCTTATTTGAAAAGCTCATTTTAATATTTTAACTTTTACGAATGTGATTTCACGAAAATAGGGCATTTTTTCTCGTTGATTCTATATTTTACTTTTATCGTAAGAGGACGTCACCATGGCTGCATACATATATTCTATTCCAACAAATAGCTAACACAAAAACATTTAATATAGACACAATGGAATAACAAAAGAATAGGCCCTGGACAGACAAATAAAAAAATGGTACAACAAATGTATGCATGTACTTAATAACTAGCAAAAACCTAATAACTATGACACACTAACTTGCCAGACATTAATTGTTTAACCGTATAGTTTCTGTTCAAAAACGATACTCTTTTTACAGTAAAGCAGATGGAATGATAGACGCTTCGAATCACATGGTCCGTAATGTGTACAAATTCTGAGCAACTCACGTAGCAAAGGCATCATTAACGTCCAGCGAGCACAGTGAGATAATAACACTGACACCACTATAAACGAGTATTTTCCGCTACAATTACCAAATCACTGTTCTTTGTTTTTTCAAGTTTAAAATTGTTTCTACTAATTTATGCATCTTTATATAATAAATAATCTTCGCCTTAAAAGAGAGGTTGTTTGTTTAAAGAATATATTATTTACCGATTTTTTTCTTTTTAGGCGATTCAGTCCTTCAAAGGCAATAAAGTGTCCGCCATACCTCGAAGAAGACCAAAAAATATACCTGAGAGGGCACTTAAGAAGAAAAAAGTGGTGCCTATTTGTCGACACATGAAGTTCCCTACTGGGATTACTACTATAAAGGTGAAAAAACGCTGTATTGTCCATTTAAAGAAGCATAAGAAGTTGAAAAAAATGAAAGATTTTGTTAAGCATGTTACAAGAAGAGAAAGAGTTAGATTTATGGAAAATAATATATGGACACCTGTATCTCATAGGCATGCAGCAAAAAGAAATATATTATTTTACCGGGATATGAAGATGCATTCAATAAAAGATATATCATCATTTGAGCATACATACAAAAGCCATGTTACTGAGCCAGGGATTAATCATTGGATTGACATTTCTCCAATCATCAATATTGCAACGAGCTCTCCACCAATGAACTACAATACAAATAAAGAAATATATAAGGAAATCAAGAATGAAAACCAGTTTAACGAAACATCAAACAAATCCAAAGTTCATAAAGTAAATCCAAATATTATTCTGAAAAAGTCTTTGTTTCGGAAATTGAATAAGAAAGAGAGTAAAAATAGAAACCAGGAAAAACTGAGGCCGATAAGAATGTTAACAAGATTTCCCGAGGTTAAGTCTCAAATGAAATCTCAACGCATGATTAAACATGTCTATCGACATATACCAAATAATAATTGAGTCAAGTTCTAAAATCCCCAAGCCAATTGTAGGAATAAAGTTGTAATGATTAGACAATTTGTTTTTTGTCTGTGTTTTGTTTTATTTTCTCATAACGTTAAATTTTCATTTTGGTACGAAATGGATTATGAAGTTAAATATTTTAAGTATAAATTACATAACGTGTAATTGTTACTTTATCTATAGGTAAGCAAAATATTACTTATGAATTATGTATTCCGTTTATCTGCAATAGGAAATCTCACGATTACATCTAAGTAAAAACATGAATGCAGAACTGCTTTGATTTGATAGAGGATTTCCAATTCGGAGATTGATTTATTTCTTTTCTTTTCTTTTTTCCATGTCTCTCGGCAATACAGATTTTTGGTAGAAGCAGTTGATACTTTTACCACTATCTTTTGGTTCTTCAGTCTTCGTTAGCGGAGGTTGAAGTGATCAATCCCGACTAATTCTATCCACCCGTACAAGAATGATTCGTAGAACGGGTAGTTATGCTTACTCACTAGCTGAGGGAAATCGTCCTCCGTGATGATTTAGTGTCCGGTTTCTTTCAATAGTTTGGCCCTTATTGCTTCAAAAGCGGTTCAAGTCGTGACGATATGCTGAACAGTTTTCGGAACACCACAATAGGTGATTTCTTTATGTTTCAGCAAACTGACATCAGCATTATTTTTAATTTTCTCAACGTTGGGAATTGAGTGCAGACAGAAATGTTCTGTCTGTCACGAGAATTCGTGGTTCTTGAACCCCATTCTTGATGCTTGGCATTTAAGTCTGCACCCAGGATGAAATGATGACCTAAAGAGTTGAGGAGAGAACTGAATTGGACTTTGGATATGGATCTGCTAGGAGGGCAACATGCTGATGCAAGGGTGACCGGAAAGGAGAAGGTTTTGATTATAATAGCGGTTGACTGTAGGAAATCTTGAATAGGTAATGGGAGTAAGTGATGGGAGAGGGATTGGTGTACAATGACAGCAGTACCGGCATGTGCTCTACCGTCAGGATGGTCAGTACGGTATGTTATGTACTGTGGAATTTTAAAATGCTGTTTTATGGTCAGTTGAGTTTCTGTAATTAGGGCTACGTCAATGTTCTTGTCCCGTAGTAAAGCTGTTAGTTCGTCGACGTGATTTCTAACACCATTCGCATTCCAAAGGAGAATGGATATGGGTTTTGGGATGTGAGTCATTAAGGATTTTTTAAAGGAGGGATGAGGTGAGATACGAGATTTGTGAGGAGTGATATGAGTGGAGTAACTAGGGATATGAAATCGGTTAGGAAAGATGCTAATAAACTGGTGAGATCTGTTGCATTTAAAGGAGGAGGAATATGAGGAATTTGAGGTTGTTGGTGGTTAGGTATGTTAGGATGAACAGGATATTGAGGTTGGGGTTGAGGTAGTTGCTGGTTTCACAGGTATTTTGGAAATTTAGGTAGTATTGAATCAATGAGGTTGTTAAGAACAATACTTTGATTCAATATACAAACAATATACAATATACAAACTTTGATGAAAAAATTTGTTTTGAACACATAGGTAGCCGGAGTTACAACATAGAGAGAGGGACTGAAGGAATGAGGATTGATTGAGGGAAGTGTGTGGTTCTATGGTAGACCAATTTTCTTCAATTATTTGAAGAAAACAGTCTGTGGGAATTTTGGTGAAGAGACTTCCTGCATCAAAGGAGGTCAGCATAAAATGTAGTGGTAGGTTCAAGGATTTAATTGTTCTAATTGGTGGAAGGAATTTTTAATGTCATATGGATTATTTTGACTGAGAGACTGGATGGCAGGGAGAAGAAATTTACTGAGTTTAGAAGATGGAGAGTTAATGTTGGAAATAATAGGTCGGAGAGGATTTTCTGGTTTATGGATTTTCGGTAAGCTGTAGCAACGGAGAGCAGTGGAATTATAAGAGATTAGATTTCTACAGGTAGGAATTTTAATTTGTTTGGTATCGAGGAGGTGTTTTAGGTGTTGGTTGAATTTGGTTGTGAGAGATGGTGTGGAGTTAGATTTTGTGGAGAGATAAGTGGTTTGGTCGGAAAGGAATGCAAACAATTTGTCATTGTACTTCCAAAAGATATTGTTTTCATTAAAAAATATGTTGACGACCTTTTATTAATCCTCAACCCCCACGCTATTCCAAACATACTTTCTGTATTCAACTCATACCACCATAGACTCCGTTTTACCATTGAAATAGAATCAAATAATTCCCTCCCATTTCTTGATCTCCTCATTTCCAGAAATAATGATAATACCTTATCTACCAATTAGTACACCAAACCTACCTACTCAGGACGTCTCCTAAACTCCCCACACCCTTACCACCAAAAAATCAGTATAGCTAAAAACCTAATAAACCGCAGTTTAACATTAACCGACCCGCAATTCCACGACGACAACCTAACCAAACTACACAAGATTCTGAAATCCAACGCCTTTCCTGATCACATTATAAAAAACTTGATCAAAAATCAATCAAAACCCCATCTTCACCAGTTTCCCACAAACTTCTCTCAGTCCCCCACCACGATTTGCCATTACAGATCCATTCCATACATCCCTGTCCTATCTCAAAAAATCAAAAAAGCTATAACTTCCAAATTTCCCCATCTACAAATAGTTTTCAAGAATAACAGTAAATTAATAAATCTATACACCAAACTCAAAGATCCTGTTCCGCTCCTACAACAATCAAATATTGTATAACATATCACATGCTCTAGCCCAAACTGCAATTCTTCTTATATAGGAGAAATCAAAACCTATTTAAAAAAAGGAATCTATCAACACAAATACAGCATCTCCACACGAAATTCGTTCACCTCAAAACTAGCGGAACACGCCATAACCCTAAACCACACATTTGATTTTGAAAACCCAACCATACTTGCCACAGTTCCCAATCACCAAAAACGACTACTTTCGGAATCTATATTCATTAATTTGGAAAAAAAATAATCCGGTAAACCACAAAGTAGATAAAGAAAATATCTGCAACACATATTCGAATATTTTCCGCCTCCTAAAACAATAGCCTATGTAATCCTTAAAATATTACAAACTTGTAGTATGATAAATATTGTTATTATTAAAATATTGTATAATATATTGTCCTACGTATCATTTCAATCAATTGAAATAGTCTATATTATAAAAATTATTTATCTAAGCATTGTGTACTTTTTATCAAACTAAGTTATATTTATATTGATTGGCACCTCTTGCTTATGTTCATTTCATTACTAGCTAATAGTCACATTTCTGCTACCATATGAAACAATTCAAATATTGTAAATCTGAAATATTTAGTTAGCAAATTATGTACATTCTACAAACATAAATGTTACCTCCCTTCCCCTCTAACTATGTTTACCTACCTTTTGTTATCTGAAAAAGGACAACTGGAAAATCCTCTCCCCCTGACCTTTTCACTTACTTACCAAATGTGTCAGTACTTGAACACCCTCAGTGCTCAAACCATGGCTAGTAAGAGAAAATATTACATATTTGTATAAATGGATTATATAGAATAGAATAGAATAGAAAAATAATTTTATTCTGGGACGAAGTCCCTTCAGAATAACAAAAAAGTACAGAAATTAAAATTTTACATCTGGCCAGATAAAAAGAAACATAACAAATTAAGATCATGATAGGTCATTAAAGAAAAGAAAAGAAAAAAATATTGGTTATACATACTATATACAAAATAAAATAAAAAAATCTATATAAAAAACTCTTGAAACCATATTAAGATACTTAAAACTATGTACAATGTTAAAATATAAATAAACCCTTTTAGAAAATATAAAAAATACAGAAAAAATAAATGTATATTCTTCTTAACAGTAAAATCTGTTTCTGTTGAAAAAGAAAAAAAAAAAAAAAAAAAAAAAGAGAGAAAAAGAAAGTCGAATCTATAATAAGTATTCAGGTCATGAGCTATATGTGAATATGGTTTTATATATAATGTGTAATTTTACATAAAAGATTAGCTGGTGTCTGACTGTTTTTGGGACAGGAATTGGAATAGGAGGGTTTTGAATGTAGATAAGGATGAAGAATGTCGAATTTTGATAGGAAGGGACTTCCAGAAACTAACAGAACGTGCAATAAAGGAGTTTTGGAACGAGGCAGATCTGTGAGAAGGAATGTAAAGGTCGGAAGGTCGAGATCTTGTGGAGAGGGAGTGGACTGAGGACTTGAATTGGAGAAGGTTGTAGGCGTAGGAAGGACGATGATTGTTGATGATATGATAGAGGAATGTACCTAGGAAATACTGTCTTCGAATGGAGGGGAAGAGCCACTCTAACTCAGTGTAATGGTGAGAGACATGGTAGTATCTCGGGGCACCAATTACAAATCTCACGCAACTGTTCATTATTCTTTTCAGTCTGTCGCGGAGCTCCACCGAGAGTCCATCATACACCACACAGCAGTAGTCAAAGTGGGGGAAGATGAGAGAGGAAACGAGGAGTCTGCGCGTATGTTGAGGTAGGAGATGGCGGAAGCAATGGAATAGTTTGAGGGTAGAGACTGTCCGTCGGGAGATGTGAGAAATATGGTGACTCCAGGAGAGGGTTTGATCAATAAATAGTCCTAAATTTTTTACAGAGGAGTAGAAGGAGATTGGCTGGTCACCAAGGTTTAGTATGGGAAAGTCCGTATAGGATCTAAGGAGGGACTTGGAACCAATGACAATGGCCTGAGTTTTTGAAGCATTTAACCTTAATCCGTTTAATTTTGCCCAGGCACAGATTCGATCTAGGTCTGCTTGGATCTTAGTAAATGCTACCAATAGCTCAGGGGGAGAAAAGGATAGGTATATTTGAGAATCGTCTGCATAAAGGTGGTGGGAACAATGGAGAATTGAGTCATGGAGGTCATTGATATAGGAACTAAAAAGGAGAGGAGATATGCTAGATCCTTGGGCAACTCCAGAGGATAAAGGCAGGTAGGCCGATTGTGGTTGATTAGGAATGGAGACTGCTTGGGTCCGTTGTGATAGGAAAGATTGGAACCAAGAGATGGAGCTATTGGAG